TAATAATAATAATAATAATAATAATAATAATAATACATTTTATTTATAACGCACTTTTCATTAACAAAATCTCAAAGTGCCACATTTAAAAACAACAAAGTTAAAAATATCCATAAAATCAAAATAATATCACTACTACTAAGTATGACATCTTAGCAGTTGTATGCTTTCCTAAATAAAAAAGTCTTCACATTTGCTTTAAAAGAGTCCAGGTTCTTTGTAACTCGCAGCTGGACAGGAAGATGGTTCCATAGCTGTGGGGCAACAGAGCAAAAAGCTCGACCTCCCATAGTACACAGCTTAGTAGAGGGAACTTGAAGTAGCATACTACCTGATGATCTGAGGATGCGGTTGGAGGTTTGCAAACATTAATAACAAGTGAAAGAGTTGCCGGACTTAAAGTTAGAGGCTTCGATTCTACAGTGGTTCTGGAGCTTCCTCCTGCATACACTAGGGATTTTATTCCTGTAGATCGTGCCCACATCCCTACCAGAGAGACTGCCAGACGTTGGAAGCATCTTGCTCCTCTGATAGACTGAATTCCTCCACTTCAAGATTGTGAGGTCGGGCTCTTAATAGGATATAATTGTTCCAGAGCTTTAGCCCCCAGAGAAGTGATTCTTGGGAAGGACAACGAGCCACATGCTGTCCGCACAGACCTCGGATGGAGCATTGTGGGCCCTTCCTTGACACATCATGAGTCACAAGGCGACGTTACCTTGTGTCAGAGTATCTATTAAGGAGATACCTGCTGTAACACCAACTGAAGTGATCAAGGTACTCGAGTCAGATTTCGAGGACACTGATCAAACCAGAATAATGGTGTCTCAAGAGGACATTATATTCTTGAAAAGGCTGGGAGAAAACATCAGAATGAACCAAGTCAACCACCTTGAAATGCCTCTCCCATTCAGGAAAAGACCCTATCTTCCAGATAATGGGCCTCTTGCTGTCAGGAGACTTCAGCACCTAAAACGGAGATTAATGAAGGACCAGGAGTACAAAGAGCATTATGTTAAGTTTATGGAAGATGTAATAGAGAAGGGTGATGCAGAAGAAGTCATTGATGAGGGAAGAGAAGGTGAAAAATGGTACGTCCCTCATCATGGAGTGTATCACTCGAAGAAGCTAGGGAAATTACGTGTGGTTTTTGACTGCTCGGCAAGATACAAGGGAACCAGCTTGAACGATCATCTTCTTACAGGCCCTGACCTAATGAACAGCCTGACTGGTATTCTTCTGCGGTTCAGACAGCACCAGGTAGCCCTCACGTGTGATATTGAGCAGATGTTTCACCAGTTCCATGTTGACGAAGCGGATCGTGATTACCTACGATTTCTCTGGTGGAGAAATGGGGATTTCGACTCACAGCCTCAAGCATTCCGCATGAGAGTACATCTGTTTGGAGCATCATCGTCACCCGGATGTGCTAACTATGGACTGAAGCATCTTGCAAGAGGAAGTGAACATCTGTACCCCCTAGGTTCCCAATTCGTTATAAGAGATTTTTACATGGATGATGGAGTATCCAGTGTTGAAACTGCAGAGATGGCCATTAAGTTAGCTCGAGAAGCTCGCCAGCTTTGTGCACTAGGAGGCTTAAGGCTGCATAAATTTGTATCCAATAACAAGGCAGTTTTGGAGACAATACCGCCCTCTGAGTGTGCTGTAAATGTTACAGCTGTTGATCTTTCCCTCACTGACTAACCTTTGGAAAGAGCATTGGGCATTTCCTGGCATCTGGAACATGATAATTTCAAATTCCGTGTCACTGTTAAGGAGCAATCCGCAACCCGTAGAGGTATACTGTCAACTGTGGCCTTGTTGTTCGACCCCTTGGGGTTTCTTGCACCACTCTTGCTCAAAGGAAAGACTGTTCTCCAAGAAATGTGCCGAAATGGCATGGGCTGGGATGATCCTTTACCTGAGGGTTTGCAGCCAGGGTGGGAGCACTGGAAGGCCGATCTTGCTAATTTGGAGAAGATTGAGGTGCCTCGTTGTATTGTGCAAGCTGGGTTTGGGAGAATAACCAAGAGAGATTCATAACTTCTCCGATGCCAGCATGAGAGGATATGGCCAGTGCTCATATCT